GAACCTCAGAAAACAAATATATATATATATATATATATATACAGGTCGTCCTTGACTTACAACTTTTCATTGAGTGACTGTTCAGTGGCAATTGAAAAAGCGATTGCTGACTGTTTTTCGCACTTACGACCGTTGCAGCCATCCCTATGGTCACGTCGTCAAAATTTGGCCGCTGGCTCACGTTTACAACGGCCGCAGTGTCCCGGGGTCACGTGTTCCCCTTTGGTGATCTTCTGACAAACAAAGTCAACGGGGAAACCAGCTTCGCTTAACAACTTGACTAACTTAGGAACTGCAGTGACTCACTTAACAACTGTGTCAAAGAAAGGTTGTAAAATGGGGCAAAATGGACTTGGCAGGTGTCTCGCCTTAGCAACATAAATTTTGGGGTCAACTGTGGCTGGAAGCTGAGCACTGCCCTCTAAGGAAGTCCTCGATTTATGACCACAGTTGAGCCCAAAATTTCCTTTGCTAAGTGAGACATCTTTCCAACCCATTTTTACAGCTTTTCTTGTCTCAATTGTTCAAGCAAATTGCTGCCATTGTTAAATTAGTTAACACAGCTGTCAAGTGAATCCGGCTTCCCCATCGACTTTGCTTATCCGGCGGGTCGCTAAAAGGGGATAATGTGATCCAGCCCTCCTAAATACGAGCCAGTTGCCGGTGTCTGAATTTTGACCACGTGACTGTTGGGTGCTGCCACGGTGATAAGTATCAAAAACAGTCATGAGTTACTTTTTTTCAGTGCCGTTATTGTAAGTTCGGAGACTAAATGAATAATCATAACCTGAGGACCGCCTGTGTTTCTGACCGTTCTCCTCTTCCTCTTAGGTTATTGTCTGAACTTGAATCCCCCTCTTGGTGGCCTTTCGGTGGGAAACTCCCCAGGGTCGTGTCCGAAGCAGGGAAGGCAAAGGAAAACCCCGCCGCGTCTCCCCCCAAAAGCAAAGACAGCGTCATCGTGCACATCCCCGTCATCATCGGCGAACGGACCGATGCTCACGTCAAACCGGGCAGCCTCACCCTCTTAGTGTCCGGCCTGAGGATCTGCAACGCCAAGTCCCAGCTGGTCCACTGGTTTGACAAGAGGGACGTGGATGACGTCAGGGTCCAAACCCCTTACGAGATCTGTGTCCGCCAGAGGTTTATCGGCAAACCGGATATCTGCTACCGGCTGCTGTCGGCAAAGATGCCCGAAGCCATCCCGTTCCTCGAGGTGCAGTTCAGCAAGAAGATTCAGTTCTCGGAGGATGCTGTGAGGCTCACGCAGGCTAAGAGGGTTTCGCCGGAGGAGGCCGGGGGGAGCTCCATTTGGCAAGCAGGTAAGAGGCCGCCGTCAGGTAGTTCGGATTTCAGAAACCCACCGTGTTTCTCCGGAAATAGGACCCTGTCTTATAGGTATTTTTTGCCACCAAAAAAAGGCACCAGGTCTTATTTTCGGTGGTGATGTCATCCCCTGACTAACCTCAGTTGCATGCATCGCACCCGGCTTCCTTTTTGCTGTCAGAGGCCTTCAGGAACTTCTGTGGCCGGCAAGGCTTTCCCGAAGGCCTTTGCAGCCTTCAGGATCGATCCAGAGCTTTCTTACCAGCTGCAGAGGCCTTCGGGAAAGCCTTGCCGGCCTCGCTGGCTGCGGAAGAAATGGGGGTCTGTGCCAGGCCTGGCTACAACTGTCCAAAGGTACGTAGTAGGGCGTCTCCACTCCCCATCCACACCCTAGCGTAATTTTTACCCGTCCACTCTGGAGTGGCTGGGATCTTAATTAGGGCTTATTTTGGGGGCACACGGAAAAATCAAGCTAGGACTTAACTTTCAGGATAGGTCGTATTTTCGGAGAAACAGGGTAATAGCAAAAGGAGGATCACGTATGAGCCAGCAGTGTGTTGCAGCCACCGAAAAGGCCAGCGCGATCCTACATTACCCCAACAGAGAGACAGTATCCTGAGCAGGAGAAAGTTTAGGTAGCCCTTGACTTACATAGTGACTTAACACCGTTTTCCACACTGACCATTGCAGCATCCTCGCGGTCACGTGATCAAACTCGGGGCGCTTGGAAAGTGACTCATATTTATGACGGTCGTAGTGTCCCAGGGCCACGTGATGCCCTTTGTCGACCTTCGGGCAAGCGAAGCAAATGGGGAAGCCAGATTCACTTAAACAACCAGGCTATTAACACCTGCTGCGATTCATTTAACAACTCCGGCAGGGAAGGTTGTAAAGTGGGACAAAACTCACCTAACGACTGTCTCGATTAGCAACAGAAATTTGGGGTTTAGTAGTGGTCACAAGTCAGGAGCGACCTATAAACTGGTGGATCAGGTGGGGCCGTTGATCGCCATCTAGTGGCCACTCTGAGTTGAATAAAGAGGCGACAAGGCTAAATTTCGGAGAAACAGAACAACATTTTGCTAGATTGCTGTTACTTACTTAACAACTGCAGGGAGGTCACTTAACAACTGGTAAAATCAGGCAAGCCTCACTTAACAAACTGTCCCACTTATCAATATAAATTTTGATCTCAGTTGTGGCCATAAGTCAACGGGTACCTCCAGCGGCTTCATCCTGTTCTTGGAATACAGCATCCAGTTTTGGTCACAATATAAAGAAAGAGGTTGAGACGCTGGAAAGCGTGCAGAGAAGAGCAACAAGGATTATTAGAGGGCTGGAGGATAAAACATACGAAGAACAGTTGCAGGAATCGGGTGGGCCTGGTTTAATGAAATTAAGGGAGGACAGGATAGCGGTGTTCCAGTATTTAAGGGGTTCAAACTATTCTCCAAAGCGCCTGAAGGCAGGACAAGAAGCAACGGATGGAAACTAACCCAGGAGAGAAGCAACCTAGAACTAAGGGAAGAAATTTCCCAGCAGTTAGAACAATTAACCAGTGGAACAACTTGCCACCAGAAGTTGTAAATGCTCCAGTACTGCAAGTTTTTAAGAAGAGATTGGATCAACCATTTGTCTGAAGTGATGTAGGGTTTCCTGTCTAAGCAGGGGGTTGGACTAGAAGATCTCTGGGGTGCCTTCCAACCCTGTCATTCTGCATTCAAATATCTTTAGCCCACGGTTGCAAGAGTCACACACAGCTGAAAGACCCCCGACTGGGAGTTCTCTGCATGGGAGCATCTAGGATGCTTCAGGTAGTCTTTTAACAATCTTTGGGTATTGATTTACCTTGTGGCTGTCACAAGGGTGGAGGGGTGTGTGTGTGTTGGCGGCAGGGGTCTATTTGGAGCAGCTAGAAATTTACTTTTCTCCTGCCACAAGACAATTGCTGACGCAAAGGGAAAGGCTGCTGCTAGTCCTCAACGTAATGGGCTTAATGGAGCCTGCTGCTCATTACGGTTATAAACCATGGCGGTCGTAAAGCAGGTCACCACGGGACCAGGCTCGTTTTGCAGCGGTTGTTAAGCGAACGGGGCAGCCATTAAGCCACCCCACTGTCTGCTCTCGGGGCATAGTTGGTCCAAATTTTGTGTAATTACATTGCAATTTTCAAAAATTAATTCCAATCTATCCTTCTTATCTACCTTCTAACATATTTTCCAAATTCTAAAAAAAAAAATGTAGGAAGAAAGAATTTCTGGACTGTTACGCTTAAAAAAAACAAGCCGGCCATTAACAAACCGTGTTCTCTTGCAGTCTTTTCTAAAATTAGATTGCAGGGAAGATCAGAGTGCACTTTCGTTGGTCGGTTGCTGAAATTCGGTGCTTGGAAAAACTGCTTCATTTTTAAATGGGGGACTCCAGGGCACCAGGTGGTAAAATGCTAGTTTAGTTCCCGAGAGGTGGGAAAAGAACCGGTGGGTTTTTTGTTCATTCTGGTTCAATTCACGATGGGACAAGACCAGCTATGGAAAACAACTTCTTCGATGAGTCTTCTTCAGCTGTGCCTTGTGGTGCATGAAACGGTTTGCATTCACAACTGACAGGACTCCGGTGTCCTTTCTTTCTGTTGTCGTGCTTCAAGTCCAAAACATCAGTAACATCAGTCTATGAAGAATGGCTAGAAGAGATGTTGGCTTGTTCTATTTCTCCAGGACTTAGGCTTGCTTTTTTTTTCAACTGAGAATGGCCACTAGGTGGCGATCAAGCACCGCCCCGGAGCATTCAGGAGGCAGATCTAGGAATCGAGCCCAAAGTGAGTTCTGCAACGTTTTATGACCTTTTTTTGCCACAGTGGTCGACCAAGTCGCTGCAGTTGTCCAGTTAGCAAGGTGGCCATTAAGCGAATCTGGCTTCCTCATTGACTTGGCTTGTCAGAAGGTCGCACAAGGGGATCACGTGACCGTGGGACACTGCGACCGCCGCAAGTATGAGTCAGTTGCCAGGCACCTGAATTTTGATCATGTGGCCATGGGGATGCGGCAGCAGTCATAAGTGCGAAAATTGGTCATAAGTCATTCTTTTCAGTGCCGTGTAATTTTGAACTGTTGGTCACTAAACCAATAGTTGTAAGTTGAGGACTACTGTATGTATGCATGCATTCGTGTTTGTGTGTGTGTGTGTGTGAGAGAGAGAGAGAGAGAAAGATGATAGGTAGGTTGGAAGATAGAAAGAAAAATTGATTATATAGAGAGATTATAGATAGATACAGATAGATAGACATAGGGAGATAGATGGATGATGGATAAATAATGTATATGCACACACACAGTATATGTTTCTGTGTGTATGTAGATGGACAGACGGATAGATAGATAGACAGGAAGACAGAAAGAAAGAAACAAAAATTGATTAGAGAAAGAGATTATAAATAGATATAGATACACAGACAGACATAGATAGACATAGAAAGATAGATTAGATAGATAGATGAGATAGGTAGAGATAGATGATAGAGAGATAATGTATATACACACACACATTATACGTGTGTGTGTGTGTATGTAGATGGACAGACGGATAGATAGACAGGTAGGAAGATAGAAAGAAAAAGAAAGAAAGAAAACTTGATTAGAGAGAGAGAGATTATAGATAGGTATAGATAGATAGACATAGATAGACATAGAAAGATAGATGAGATAGGTAGAGATAGATAGAAGATAGATGATAGAGAGATAATGTATATACACATATTGTGTGTGTGTGTGTGTAGATGGACAGATGAATGGATAGATAGATAGATAGATAGATAGATAGATAGATAGATAGATAGATAGATAGATAGACGGACAGTCAGTCAGTCAGTCAGTATCTCTTCGGGCTTTTCACTAGAGATACAACTTGTTTTTCTAAAGAGTTTAGGGTTAGGGTTCCAGCTGGCAAATTTGATTTGAATCATCTTTGGTTTTGGTTTTGGTTTTTAATTATCACCCTCCCAAAGCCGCTGAGAGGCTTTCAACTGGGATCTCGCAGGAAGAAATACGTAACAGGTAAATCCTCGCTGCTTAGCTGTGGAGAGCCTCGGGTTTAATTTGGAGCCGTTTGCATCCAGACAAAGAGCAGCACAACTTTGTTGAACATCGCTCCAAAAAAAGAGCCCCCCCCCCCCCCCCCCCCCCCCCCCCCCCAATCTAAGCTGGGAAATGCAGCCATTTAATCTCTCGGAACGAGGAGGCTTAAACCAGGTTCTCCGCTGGCCAGACGCCCTGCTGGGTGAGGGATCCGGTTTACCTTCTATCTTTTCCCCAGAACTTTAAGGTGGCCTGCAGGGAGATTCCTCCCCGGCCCCTGAGAGGGCAGAGAGAAGCTGGCCAGCCCGATTTTACAGCGGGTTTTTCTCCCACCGGTTGTTAAGTGAGTCGTCAGGTTCAGTCACTGAATCGGCAGTTGTTAAGCAGATACTCCCATGATGAAATTCGCTGCGGGGGGCGTCTTTGCCAAAAGGCAGGAATTCGCCACCTTTTGAGGGACATCCGTCATGACTGGGAATGCTTGCTAAGTGACCGGTCGTAAGTTGAGGACTACCTGCATAACTTTTTTCCCCACGATGTGAAATTATAGGAAGGTAGTCCTCGGCTTAACAACTACAATTGAATCCCCAGATTTCCATTGCTAAGCCAAAACAATTGTTAAGTGGGTTTTGCCCTATTTGGGGGCGTTTCTTGCCATGGTCATTAAGTGAATCGCTACAGTTGTTAAGTTAAGAACACGGTCGTTAAGCGAATCTGGCTTCCCCATTGACTTTGCTCATCAGGAGGTCGCAAAAGGGAATCACATGACCCTGGGACACTGCGACCGTCATAAATATGAACCAATTACCAAGCGTCTGACTTTTGATTATATGACCAAGGAGATGTTGTAACGGTCGTAAGTGTGAAAATTGGTCATCGATCCCTTTTTTCACTCCTGTTGTAACTTCACATGGTCACTAAACGAATTGTTGTAAGTCAAGGACTGCCTGTACAGCGTGTCCTCGACTTACGACCACCATCGAACCCAAAATTTCCGTTGCCGAGCAGACAGTTGTTCAGGGACTGTCTCGTCCCGTTTTGCAACCTTTCTTGCCACAGCCGTTAAGCGAATCCCCGCTGCCACTGTCACGAGTTACATGCCAGTTGTCAAGCCTCTGAATTTTGATCATGCGACCGCGGGGAAGGACGCGACGGCCGTAACTGTGAAAAAAACGTCCATAATTCCCTGCCCCCCCCCCCCCGTTTTTCACCCCCCGTAACTTCGGATCGTCACTAAACCGACAGTCGTAAGTCGAGGACCACCTGCAAGGCGCCGTCGGCGGGCGACTTGGAAAGCTTTGCACCTGTACCGCTTCAGCTGGCAGGTTTGAGAACCGTGTTTAATTTAGACCAGCCTCCGATGTCTCCCTTGCAGCCAACGGGTTGCTGCAAGAACCGAATAATTCCCTCTGTGTGTGTGTGTGTGTGTGTTTGGATTAAGAGTCTGCGGTAATTAACTCCTGGGGGGGGGCAGGAGGAGGTTTTGGGTGGGGGGGGTCGTTGTATTTTTAGCTGCAGCTTTTGTGTCTGCCTTTTCCATTAAGTAACACAATCCCGAGCTGACACGGGGCCTCCAAAACCTGAGCGAGCCTTGGCTTTCCAGCCTGGCTTCTGGCCTAGAGCCCGGCAGCTGTCGCGGTGGAGACGGGTGGGGTGGGGCTTCTTTGGGGCAGGGGTAGCTTCCTCTAAAGGGGGCTCTCTTCCCCGTCCCCCCCGACCCGCCAGCCCCCTCGCCCCCCCCATCCTGTTCCAGCGGAGACCCTGGGCACAGAGGGGAGGAGGGGGCTGCCTTAGTTTCTCCCTGCGAAGAGGCTCCAGGTGGCAAAGTTGGGTAGTCCTTGACTTACGGTGACTTGCTTAGTAACCGTTCTATGAAGGCGCCCCCCCCCAGTGTATGAAGAGGGGCTGCTAAAATCTTGAGTTACTTAGGCCTCATTTTATTTATTGGCCCGGGAAAGAGAAGGCACGCACACATACAAAATAATAAAAACACATACAACTTAATAATAAAAACACATACAACTTAATAATAAAAACACATACAACTTAATAATAAAAATAAGTACAACTTAATAATAAAAACACATACAACTTAATAATAAAAACATATACAACTTAATAATAAAAATAAGTACAACTTAATAATAAAAATACATACAACTTAATAATAAAAACACATACAACTTAATAATAAAAATACATACAACTTAATAATAAAAATACATACAACTTAATGATAAAAATACATACAACTTAATAATAAAAATACATACAACTTAATGATAAAAATACATACAACTTAATGATAAAAATACATACAACTTAGCCGCAGTTCGTTTGGTGAATGAGGTTACATAAACAGCACTATAAAGAGTGACTTATGACCGCTTTTCACCCTTATGACCGTTGCAGTCTCCCCACGTGATTCAAATTCAGATGCTTGGCAACTGGCTCCTATTTATGACGGTTGCAGGGGGGGAGGGCAGCCATGTGATCCCCTTTTACGACCTTCTGGTGACCCAAGTCAACGGGGAAACCAGATTCACTTAATAACTGTGTGGATTAGCGTTATAACTGCAGTGACTCACCAAACAACTGTGGCAAGAAAGGTCATAAAATGGGGAGAAACTCAGTTAACAAACGTCTCACTTAGCAACGGAAGCTTTGGGCTCAATCGTGGTCGTAAGTCAAGGACTACCTGTAAAGTTAAAAACTGCATTGGGTCCCTTAACTGTGGCAAGAAATGTCGTAAAATGGGGCCAAACTCACTTAACAATTCTTGCTTAATGACGGAAATCTCGGCGGTAAGTGGGGAGCTCCTTCGCTTCCCATTCCATCCTTGTTGCATGGGGGGCATCGCACACAACACGCAGCATGGTGTTGTGTGCGATGTGTGTGGCTGTGTTCTTTGTCAGGTTAGGGAATAGAAGTCCCTGCTGTCTGTTACAGCTTTTGCCACCTGAGGCCATTGTGCGACCAATAGTCCTCGATTTATGGCCAAAATGGGACCCTGCCTGTTGCAGTTGTAACTCATGAAGGTCATAACTCAGGTCAGTCACGTGAAGGAGCAACCCACTTGACAATTGCTTGTTTTTTGCAACAGTCATTAAGTGAACCAACGGTTTTGCCCCAAACTGGAAAGACCGTTGGAACTTCAAATCCAGGCCTGTCATAACTTCCAGCGGTCATTAAGTGACCGATCATAAGTTAAGGATTGCCTGTAAATCCAGTGTTTCTCTGCCTTGGCGGCTTCTGGATGTGTAGATTTCAACTCCCAGGATTCCTCAAATGTTCAACATTTGTTTAGTGCCTGTTTGAAGTTACCACAGCGGTGGAAAAAGTCACTTTAGGGCCAGTCCTCGCGCTTACGACCGTCACACCCTCCCCTGGGTTGCATGGTCCAAATTCCGGTACTTTGCAGCTGGCATGTATTTAACAAGCAGATCTGATTAACGACCTTTTGATTCAATTAACAAACGCAGCAATTCACTTAATAACCGTGGCCCAAAGAGGTCATACCCCGTGCGATTCCCTTAACGGCAGTGATTCACTTAACAACGGCCGCCGAGGGAAAAATCTGAATCAGGTGCATTTCCTTTAACAATTTCAGCAACTCGCTTAGCAACGGCGGCAAGAGAGGCCACCTGCGCCATCCACTTAATGGTTCGCTTAACAACCGTAGCAAAAACGGTGGTTCCATCCCTCCACCCCCCGCTTGTTCCACAAGAGAAAATCTGGTCCCAGTTGCGGTTGTAAGGCGAGGACGACCCAAAAGGAGCTCTTTGGCCAGCGGACGAAGCCTCCGGGGCGCCCCTGTGGTGGCCCCGATTCCAGGGCCTTTCTGACCCACCGCTGCCTCTCTCCTTGCAGCCACTGGGTTTATGGGGAGCCTCGTCCAGACCGGAGCACCACCCGCCGCCTCCTCCTCCTCCTCCTCCCGAGGGAGTGGAGACCACCAGCAAGAGCAGCAGCAGCAGCAGCAGCAACAGGCTCAGGTGCAGAAGGAGAAACAGGTGGTCTCCCAGAGCGAGACGCAGGAAATCCGCCAGGTAAGCCCTGCGGCTCAGACCATTAAGTAGGACTCCTTTTCTATTGAGCTGTCCGTCCTTCCTTCCTTCCTTCCTTCCTTCCTTCCTTCCTTCCTTCCTTCCTTCCTTCCTTCCTT